ATGGACCCACCATTAGGCCATATATGAACGTGGATCACTGCATGGATCTTGATAACTACTGGCCTGCTTATTAGAATTTGAAGAAAGAGAAAAGGACAATAGTTACTATCAGCTATTATTAGTAGACAATTAATGCTTGTTGTTATGCTATATCTATAGGTAGGATATTTATATAGTTGAGTACTTCTGAAACCTTTGTTGAAGACTGCTTAATCACATTGGGAGGAGTTAATTATAAGGACATAAACAACGTGCCCAAAAATCAGGGTCTTTGCTAGTTCTTCGTTAATTAGAAGCATCTTCATTAACTCCTCTTATTGTTATCCTTTTTTTTTTTTTAATCTATGTTATATGATGAGTAGATGAGAAAAGTGTAAGCAATTACAATGCTTGAGCACATTTGCTATAAGTATGAGCTTTTCATTATCTTCTCTAGTATATTACGATATTATTTATTACATTATTATTCTTTTCATCATGGATTGAGAACTACTGTATAAGTGTGCAGTGAGGACGTACAATGTGAGCTCCGGGGTAGAGCTACACACGGCCGAGGATCCTAATTTTTTTTTCTTTTAATTTTGTTAAAAATTTATAGTTTGTCCTTTCTAATATGAAATGTACCCCGCCCCACCTTAAAATTTGTAGTTATTTGTCCGTCCTCAAATCACAATTATTTTTCTGGCTCCGCTCTTTTGTGAACTTGATTTTGCTTGAAAATCTCCTAAATAGGTATTGGGGACCAGACTGGCCCACAGTCTGTGGGCGATTTAACAATTAAAATTAACCTCATGCTTGATCGGCGCAATGTTAACGCCCATTAATATTCCTCATCAGATACGTCATGATGTGAATGACGACTAACGGGAAGCTACATGAAATTGGTCTCATAGCACAACTTAACTTATTGGGAGAAAGTGCAGCCACAAAGGAGATGAAAAATGTTGTGAATGCTTCAATGGGGAGGAATAAAAAAATTAGTAGTTTGATGAAAACCAACAATATCACGGAATAGTTAAAAAAAAAAAGCTTTTTCTACAGCGAGACCTCCTAAAAAAACTAACCGGTGGAACACCATGTTTTGACTATTAAATTACTTTTTTAACGGCTAAATTTATAGAGGGAACAGTTCTGTCCGGTGCATTGAAAAAAAAAAAGCTTTTTCTACAGCGAGACCTCCTAAAAAAACTAACCAGTGGAACACCATGTTTTGACTATTAAATTACTTTTTTAACGGCTAAATTTATAGAGGGAACAGTTCTGTCCGGTGCATTATAAATTTTTAATACGAACATATACAAATCTATCTATTAAAAATTTAATCCAATAATTAAAATAGAATGTTTCACTACTACTAATACCGTAGAGGCTCCTTTAGTTAAAAGTAAAAAGGAAGTTGATAAACCATGAACAGAAAAGAAAAAGTCTTATTCTCGTTGGGCTGGCAGGAACTTGGAATTTTAGTGATGGAAATAATTAAATAATCATATTGTTGTCACTTTGTAGTTTTGCAATTGGTTTTGGAAGGTTGTTTTGCTTAGGGTCTATCGGATTTATTAATTGCTTTGGCATAAAATTTATTTCTTTAATCATTATTATTATTATTACTACCAAAAAGTAATAAAAAAAGGATCACTTACAAATTAAATCGTAAAAGATCTAAAATTGAAAAAGTGTATAAAAAAAAAAGCTCAAAAAGGCTTACAAATTCAACACAATTAAAATGAAGGCATAAACTGGTTGCAGCTTCCACAAAAGGTAGAGGATGCCTCTAACCTCGTTGACACTGAGTTAATTAGTAGGTTTGAGTTTACTATAAAAGAGTTTGAGTCATAATCGAATTAACATGATTAACACGATTACTAAACGGGTTAGGTTAGGATTGACATGCTAACATAAAGTGCCTTGAATTAACATGATTAATTATTTGTGTCATTTGTAATCTAATAATATATGATATCATTTAAGTTTATATGATGTACTAAATACAAATTAAATGAATTTTAAAAGTGGTAGGTAAACTTCACTTGTTTTTTTTAAAAGAAAAGATAAATTGACAAATAAACCTATTAAACATGTCATGATTGTGATTAGAGGAAAAAATGTCATGATTGTGTTAAATAAGTTGTAGTTATATTAATTATTTATTTAATATATTAATTTAAACAGGTTGTGCTCGTTAATACGATTAACAAAATTAATAAACGGGTCATCATTTTTGGGTTAATATTTTTTATAAGTTTAATAAATGAGTCGTGTCTGATTGATTTTTTCTTACATGACTAATAAATATGTTGACATAAACACGATCCATTAACCCTAATTGTCACATGTTTAGAAAATTATAAATAATACAGGGCCTGTTTGTTTGCGTTTTCGTTTTCATTTTTCACGGTTTTCAAAGTAAAAAAATGAAAACGGGTGTTAAAAACGTGTTTGGTGCAATTTTTTTAAAAAAACAAAACCAAAAACGTTTTTGTCTTTTTGTGGAAATCAAAAAACGGAAAAAAGGTGTTTTCATTTTCTTGTTTTCGTTTTCTGTTTTCTGAAAAACGGATTTCACTTTTTTTTTTCATTTTCATTTTCTTCCCTCTTTTCTGAAACCGTTTTTGTATTATATATGTTTAATTAATATATTTATTTAATATATTATTATTTAATATATTTAATAATATTATTTATATAATATATTTAATAATATTATTTATTTAATATATTTAATATATTATTTATTTAATATATTTAATAATATTATTTATTTAATATATTATTACATGTTTTCAAAAATTAAACCACCAAACGCAGTTTCAGTTTTTTTTAAAACTGAAATCAATCTCTAAATAAAACTACCAAACGCATTTTTAGAAATAATTCAAAAATGAAACTAAAAACGTTTTCATTTTCATTTTCGTACAGAAAATAAAAACGTTTTGGAACCAATTCCAAACGCACCCACAGTGTCATCATTTTGTTAGTATTAAGGAGTATTTTAAACTAGGGTACAATGTATATGGTTCGGGGGCAAAACGAACTCTTTTCAAATTTAAAGGGTATACTGAACTTATAGGTACTAATTCAGAGGGCATTTTTTTCGCTAACTACCCTCTTGTAAATGAAGTCACACACCCATTAGTCATCCCTCACATCTCATCTCTTCGACGACCTACGTTATTTTTTTCACCGGCCGAAAATCTCACCGCCATGTTGCCGGAGAATCTCGCCGTTGTTCTACTGGAAAATATTTGTCGTAGTTTTGCGGAAAAATATCACTCCCTCTCGGTCTTCGAAGGTTCCTCTCCTTTGCCCCTATTTCCCACTTCGTGGGCGGTCACTTCCAGTTCCAATGATTTCCACCACCAACATTAAACAAAACCAAATTTTTTTTTTCTTCAACGGAATAAAATGTCAAAAGGCTTATCTACATACCAAAGTGGCAAAGTCGCTTGTCCAAGCTCAATCTCCATCCCGAAGCCCCTTGTCCTCACATATGCACGTATAGTACTTCTATGTTGTCCTCATCAGGTATTCTTCTATTTGTGATGGAGATCGACATTTCCAAGCCCACCATTTCTGGAGTAAATACCAATCAGATTGATAAATATGGCAAGTTGTTGGTGGAGCAGCATTATGGTTGCTTCTTTGTTTCTGACTTTTTTTGTCTGGTTTCTTTTCAAGGGGAAAAAAAAGAAAAAAGAAAAAAGAAGGAAGATTTGACTTCTTTTTCCAGAATGAAGTTGTTGTTGTGCTTTTGTTGTCTCTGTGTTTGGTACTTTTTTGGTTGTTTCTAATCGACACTGACCAAACAAAAGTAATATATATACACACACACATACATACACACATATACATTTATATATATATATATATATATATATATTAACGTTCTTTTCTTATTACATTCTTATCACTATTCGTATTCCACCACTTCAACCATTTGCACCCAAAGTTTATAAGGTTATTTTTAGGGCCGGTAATACGAGTCACGACACGATAATATGACTCGAAAACGACACAAATTTCGCGGGTTAGTGTTAAGAAAAAGAGATTCGGGTCAGAATTGGATATACTTGAAATTGACACGAAAAACACGGGTCAATTTCGGATTGAACCCGCCTAACCCGAACACGACACGAAACTCGTAAAAAAACTAAAAAATACATATATTTTTCATTACATATTTTTAATTTTATTATGAACTTGTGATATCATGATAGTTATACTCAAAATCTTATACTATTATTTACTTAATTTCAATGGATGTTACTCTATTGTAGTGTGTTATGAATTTTAAGTTATTTCTAATATGTAAAAAACTAAATAAATGTATACCATTTTCATGTCTATTTCGTGTCACGGGTCATTTCCGTATCGTGTCGTATCAACCAGTAAAGTGGTCGTGTTGCGATTTTTAAAAAATTTCATGTCACGAGTCGTATTCGGGTTGATTGTAAATTTAAAAAAAAAAGATCAAAACACGATACGAACACAACACGTGACACGAATTATCACCCCTAATTATTTCTTTGTAAAATTGCCTGACACTTTCTACAAATATCCTTTTAATTAATTAGTTATTTAACTAAAAAATATTAAAAATATCCTTTTAATTAATATAATTATTTAACTAAAAAGGTATTAACGCAAGAGATAAATATCCAAAATTCACACTTTAAGAAGTACATGTCTCATTTACCCTAAATTTAATGCAATTTATTTAAATTTTAATAATATTCCGGTACTTTTTTTTCCTTAATGGGTATCCCAACCCGAACCCCAATACGCGGGTATCAAGGGCAAAGATGAAGGCAGGGGCGGGGCGGGGGGCGGGGATGCATACCCGACCCTGTTCCGCCATATGCTCATCCCTAAAACTGACCCGGCAAGGCATGGCGGAGCAACTATTTGCGTATGTCCCAGTCTGGCTTTGCCGCTATTATAATTATCTCAAAATCATCTCTATCAAGACCAAAGAAAAAGGAGCACGAGAAGCAATGATCTTATAAGAAATATAATTACTCATTAAAAACGCAAACCCCACTTGTTCTGTATATATCTGTAAGAATAAAAATAAATAAAATTACACATTCTAACAACAAACTAAGAAAACTACTCATCACACACGAACTTAAAACAAAAAAAACCTCAGATGTCTAATTGCGTAGTGTGACAAACGTTTATCGACTTTTCTTCACAATGGGGGGAGAAAAAGTTAACAGAGGCTTAGAAGAGAACATTAGAGTTAATTTGCACGAAAACTACTAGCCTCAGAAAAACCCTTTGAATAGTGAGCACAGATCACCTGACAAAAATAGGGAAAATTCATAACTGGGCAAAATCCTGATAGAATCGACCATCGTACTCTTCATTAAAAATAAACAAACAAATAAGCAGGTATATAAAGTTCCACACTTGCCCACGAAAATATAACACCCCCAAACCCCACTCAATCTTATCTCGAGTTAACTAATTCGGCCTTTCTTAATGAGCTCTTTATCAACTACTAGTTTAGGCACGTGCGATGCACATATTGAGCTTTAATAGAAATTTTTATAATGTAAAATACAAACTAACAATAGGCACAAAAAAATAGGAAAAAGATTACTAAGAAATTCAAAAAGCGTATATATGCATAGCTGTTTAAGTGAAAAGCTAATATGTGATTAATACATTAAACATTCAAATTAAAAGATAATGAAATAAAAAAAATAAAAATAAGAGTGTCAAAACTTACAAAGAAAAAGGAAAAAATAAATAAATAAATAAGGCACCAAAAACATTTTGGACTACAATGAAATGAACAGTAGCGAAATATAACAGAATTAAAAGAAAAAATAAAGAAGTTGAAACTTAAAAAGGAAAAGGAAGAAAAAAATTAAAGCACCTAAAATTCACCAGTTTAGGGCAACCCTAAAATGATCATTAGCCACATACAACAAAATAAAAATAAAATAAAATAAAGAGTTAAAACCTGAGAAGGAAAACAAAAATAAAACACCTAAAACTCACTGTTTTAGAAACAATACCAACATATCCACTCTTTTATATATATTTAGATAGAATAGTATAGTATTGAACATTTAGGATAAGATCAGAATTTGATATTATAGATACACATATATATACTTATATATTTAGATAGAATAGGATAGGATTGAACATTTAGGATAAGATCAGAATTTGATATTATAGATACACATATATAAACACACGCATATTTATATCTGAAGTAGTGCGATGCACGTATCAATGTAGACTGAATTATATAAGATGTACATTATGAAAAAGAAAGAATGGAGTTAAAGTGGGTGTAAATGGAGTTAGAAAGAATGAAAAGAATAAAATTTAAAAAGGAAGGAAGGAGAAAAGGGTAAAGAGAAGAAAAAATGGGGTAAAACTGGAGTTAAAAATAATGAAAAGAAAAGAAAAAGGGCACCAAAGGGTGCGTAATGGACAACCATGGTGCGAACAGGGTGGCTCTTTCTGTTATACATGTAGGATAATAGAACATAAGCAGTCATAATCTCACCAAGAAAAGGAGTGAATCAATCACGTGCTTGTCTACTTGTCCGGATGTCCCCTCTTAGCTTTACGACGTCCATGGTTGGTATGGGTATTTCGAACAGGTTTCTTAGCCTTTTTGCTGCAGAGACAACAAACACAAAGTAAGCGAGTCGAAAACCTTGTGTATTTCTCCAAGAGGTAAGCAAAGAAACAAAAAAGGATGAACCACAAGTGAACAGATGGCCCTGCCCAAAACTTAATGGCCAATAGAAAAATTAAACGGTCTACTTAAGACTTACCAGAAAATGGATGAGAAAACTCTGAACAGAATGATGATGGGTAGTGCCAATAAAGCTGAGGCCTGTAACATTATGTTATTAATAAGTTACAATCAATTTAACAAAAACACCAAGGGCAACGGCGGAAAATAAGTAAACACGGGCTTATATGTAAAAACTATTAAACACATACCGCAAACCACACCAACTCTTTAGTAGCAAGAGGATTCGTCAGTTCGTGTTTTTTCAGTGTCTCTTTGACAGTTGTTTGAACCTTTGATAAGAAAGAGCACAGTGGAACAACAAAAACATTGAGATATATAAACGTGGGATTATGAACAGAAAACAGTAGAATCAGATCGTAATTTAACTAGATAGTTATGACTACAAAGCAGCAACAGATTCGTCAAAATAAATACTTTGTTTTGCACTACTAAGAAAACTACAACTCTGCAGCTAAGCTCAGTAATGAAACAGCTACAGAAAATAGAGACACAATTATTACAGCAACAGAGAATATATGGGGAAGAAAAAGAAAACTACTCTACCACAATTATTGATTTATGGGCAGTATTAGTGTTATAATATAACTAGTTTCTACAAAAACCTTGTTCAACATTAAAATTTTTTCTTTTTTCCATTCTCTCAAAGCTCAACTATTTTTTGAGTCACATTTCATTCAACGAAGAACTTATTAACTTCATCGAAGTGTCCAACTGTAGTATGATCTGCAAACTAGTTTGATTACTATTTTTTGAGTCATCTTTCATTCAACGAAGAATTTATTAACTTCATCGAACTATCCAACTGTAGTATGATCTGCAAACTAGTTTGATATTTTAACTACAAAATTGAACTTGAGGGCCAAAATACAACATAAATTGTGATCTAAAAACATTAACTGGACCAGCTAAATCATGCAGATTTCATATACTCTACCAACAGTCTACCAGAGAAATGAACAGAGAATATCTAATTACACTTAGTCCGCTGAGGTTCTGTGAAAGTAGGATCAAGACCTGTTCGTGGTATGTCGTCGCAGATAGTAGAAACTTTCCATAAGCACGAACTGCTTTCTTTGTGTACGGCTTCAAAGACTCGTGCACTTTTTCAACATGAGGTTTTGCTACAGTAGCAACCTGATCAATATATGGTTTGCTGTACTTTTTTGCTTCCTGTCACCAAGAAGACAGTTCTTTAAGATGCATGTTAAAAGCACAATTAAACACGAATGCAATATAATCAAAGAAATACCTGAAAATAGGGGTCAACGATTTCTTGCACTTTCGAAACATGTGGAGCTAACGCACTTTTTGAAGTCTGATACGCTTCAACAGTTTTTGTTCTGAGGGATTCTAGATGGGGCTCAGCAGATGTTCTTACCACCAACCACTGTTCCTTTATTGAGGGGATAACTTTCTGTACACATTAAGAAAACCACCACAAATTTAGTAAGACACCAAATGGACCCGCACCCCCCCTGCCCCCCCCCCGACAGTAGC